ATATAATATAATATAATATAATATAATATAATATAATGTAATATAATGTAATATACAAGTGTTGAGTAAAAACCAAGCGGGAGGTTTAAAAGAACCAAAATCCTTAGAAAAATCTTGTATTTTCTGCTGTTTCTCAGAAGTTTAAAAGTTCATTAACTTAAATTACCAATTTATAATAATAATAATAATAATAATAATAATAATAATAATGACAATAAATTATGTATATTAACGCTCATTTTTAGATGTTATTTTAACATTTTTCTTGTTCTGTTAAATATCAGATAAAATCTGGTCAAATCACAAATAAAATATTAATTTACACGTTGACTGTTTAAAAAGAAAAGGAAAAAAAGGACCAAACTGTAAAAATGTCCTAATCAATAATTAGTTTTTAGAACATTTTGTCATGAAATGAATCCTTATAGTCCAGATGTGCTGCTGCTGACAGACAGATGTTGTCTACAGGGACCTGCACATCACTGTCAGCTGTTTTTATACACATTGTCCTGTTCTGATGAACTGGGACTGACCCGGTCTCCTGGCCGGACCAGCGGCTCCTGCTTGGTTCCCAGTTTGTGCAGCAGGTTGAAGGCCACCTTCACGCTCCTGGACCAGAGTTTACCTGCAAGCAGACACACACCTTTATTGACCTGAGCAGACCACAGCTGGAGGGCTTCAGAAGGACGAGTCAGACCAAGTCCACGAGTCAGAGAAGCGACAGATCAGACAGAACAGGTGGAAGCCACCGCAGAGAAACGCTGCCAGCTCATCACTGTTTACAGCAGCGAAGGAGAACGTGTGAAGATTTATCTCTACAACTGAACAGAGCTGCAGCTAAAGAATTGATTAACTAATTATTGATCAACTAACAATGTCAACTATTCTGATAAGTGGTGACTGGGTCAGTTGAAATAAAAACTGTAAACTCTGTGGTTTCAGCTCCTTCAGTGAAAGTTTTCTGGTTCTTTCCTCTGTGACACTAAACTGAACATCTAAACAAGACGTCTGAGGAAACTCTGACCCACATGTTTCTCCTTTTCCCGACATTTTACAGATCAAACAACTGATCAATTCATCCAGAAGAACAACCAGCAGCTCTGGTGTGTCCATCAGAGAAAACACTGCAAACCAAACACAGAGAGAAGCTTTGTGCAGGAGTCTCAGCGTTTATCTGTTCAATGTCAGCTGCCTGTGATGTGGTTCATCTGCAGCTTCAGGAGACCATCCTGCATCACTGGTTCTCTCTGAAGAAACACAACCAGGCTGACGGCAAACAGGTTCACATTCAGCAGCACAAACCCTGGAGCTCACCCTGGGATGGATCCTGAAGGCCAGCTAGAGATCAACATCACCATCATCATCATCATCATCATCATCATCA